AGAGGCCCAGGGTCTGCGTGTGTTTGCTTCGGGAACGCACTTTCATCTGCAGAGCCGGGCTCAGTGTGTCTCCTGGACGCCCTGCCCCTGCCCCCGAGCTTCCTGGGGGGCAGGCGTGTTCCTGGTACGTGAGGATGTGGGTCAGTGTTTGTGGGAGCTGCTTTGCGCGTAGGAGATGCCGCAGCCCGTCCGTCCAGGGCAGCGTTGTCGCTGTCCCCTCTGCCCATTCATTACCCGGGACCAGGCCACCCACGGACGCCAGCCTTCACGCCGAGAGCAGCAGGGACGTGGAACCTGGCCTGGCTAGTGAGCGCTTGTTTTAAAGACAACTTCCTTCTACTGTTCACATGACCACACGCAGCGGGTGCGAAATGACGACGTAGAAGGAATGACTTTAAGGAAAACATGCTTAAAAACTCCGACTTAGAGCTTTAAAACACAACCCTGTTTCCCACCTAAAAGGAAAAAATAAATTCTTTCTTCTTAAGAATCTGACGATTCCTTAATAAGCAGCCCCCCAAATATCTCAAAATTTCAGAAAAACGCAAATGACTCTGATACCCAGGTAACCAGAAATCCTGGCACATATTGAAATAAATGCATCAGGACTTGAAATTGGTTGAACGTGACCACTGGATTCATTAGAAATTTTCAGACGTTAAGGGAAGATACAGTGATATTTCCTAAGGTGTGAGCATCTTAGGTGCTTCTGCATAAAGAAGATTAGCTACTGGACAAAAAGCAGAATTACTCTAAAACCTTCCCAGGAACGACACCGGGTGACGGTACCGGAACTGGAATTGATGATTTGCAGGACGCGGCAGCAACGGGACCCACCGTGAAATTCTCGAGAAGAGAAATACCCAAATCACGGCCGACAGAGAACCTTCAGGACGCGTGCTACCTGGCGAAGACGTCAGGAGAGAGTGGCTCTGGTCAGACTGTCGCATCGCGGCGTCCGATAGGACGGGTCCTCCCTATTGTAAAGCGAGGCACTGTCTGCAGGCGCACGGCTTTACAGGTAGAACGGAGTCCAGTGAGCGAGACACAGAACGATCGTCTGACCAGCAGGTCTCCACTCCGCCCCGAACACCTCGCGGACGGATGCACAGAAGTGGGACGTTGCTTCCCACGATGCTGCTTCAAGTAGAAGGAAGGACGGGGCGCTGGAGCCATGACACAGCAACTGCCGGGGAGGGAGGGAGGGAGTTCGCACTCGCCGGCCAGGTCGCCCGCGTCATCGGAAGGCCATAAGCTACTCCATCTCCCGGGAGCTCGTGCGGACAGAGGTTAGTGACCCTTACCGCTCGTTCTCTCTACACGAGAAGTAGAATTAATTGAAAACAGGGATTCTAAACACAGGACTCGCTGGCTACGCGGATGCACGTCTGCAGGGTCGCTGCTGCTCCGTGAAAGGCGTCCCGGGTTCGAGAGCCAGCGTGAAAGCTGGGAGTCCTCGTTCCCTGAGGCACAGCGTTTCCCGGGATCCCTCTCCTCGCACTGATTTCCGCGCGTTCTCCTGGGTGGACGGAGGCCAAAGTGTGGTCAGCTGGGTGGGGCCCCTCGGCCAGGATGGAGCTGAGTTTGGGGTCTGCACGCGGCGGGCACGGACTCCCCTCAGCGCAGACAAAGGCGGTGCCATCCGGTGGCCGGGGTCGGGGCCATGGGCGGACGCCCTCAGAAGCACTTCCTGTGCACCACGGGCGGGCCGGCCTCATCGTACTCCTGCTTGCTGATCCACATCTGCTGGAAGGTGGACAGCGAGGCCAGGATGGAGCCGCCGATCCACACGGAGTACTTCCTCTCGGGGGGCGCGATGACCTTGACCTTCATGGTGCCGGGGGCCAGGCCCACCACCTCCTGCTGCATGCGGTCGGCCATGCCTGGGAACATGGTGCTGCCCCCGGACAGCACGGTGTTGGCGTACAGGTCCCGGCGGATGTCCACGTCACACCTGAGGATGGAGCTCAAGGCCGCGGCGTGGACGCCCCGGGACTCGAGGCCCAGGAGGGAGGGCCGGAACAGGGCCTCGGGGCACCGGAACCGCTCGCTGCCCAGGGCGATCACCTGCCCGTCGGGCAGCTCGTAGCTCCGCTCCAGTGAGGGGGCCGCGGCCGCGCTGGCCATCTCCTGCTCGAAGTCCAGGGCGACGTAGCACAGCTTCTCCTTGACGTCCCGCACGATCTCCCGCTCGGCCGTGGTGGTGAAGCTGTGGCCCCGCTCGGTGAGGATCTTCATGAGGTAGTCGGTCAGGTCCCTGCCCTCCTGGTCCAGATGCAGGATGCCGTGGGGGAGGGCGTAGCCCTCGTAGATGGGCACCGTGTACGTGACCCCGTCCCCAGAGTCCATGACGATGCCTGTGGTGCGGCCAGAGGCTACAGGGACAGCACGGCCTGGATGGCCACGTACATGGCTGGAGTATTGAAAGTCTCGCACATGATCTGAGTCATCTTCTCACGGTTGGCCTTGGGGTTCGGGGGGGGCCTTGGGGGCCACGCGCAGCTCCTTGTAGAAGGTGCGATGCCAGGTCTTCTCCATGTCGTCCCAGTTGGTGACGATGCCGGGCTCAATGGGGTACTTGAGGGTCAGGATGCCACGCTTGCTCTGGGCCTCGTCGCCCATGTAGCTGTCCTTCTGCCCGATGCCCAGAGGCGGGGGAGGCAGGGAGGAGGCGTGGCCTCTGAGGTACAGTGATGATGGTGATGATTATGTGCATCACTCAGGGGCCTTCCTCATAGAGAACAGGGCTGCCGCCCGGCCACAGCACAGTGACTGTAATTAGGCAGCCCACGCGTCGGGGCCTCGGGGGACGGGGGTGCAGTGTGGGCAGGATGCACAGCGAGAGGGAAGGAGGCCGAGGGAGGGGCAGCCGGCCACACAGCCACTCCGCCCTCCCCACTCTGGCCCATTTTTTCCACCAAGTTTAACTCTTCATCCAAATACTGTTCTTATGGGAACTCTGACTCCAGAAACTTCACTTTAAATATATTTCTTTATTGGTTTCAGAGAGGAAGGGAGAAGGAGAGAGAGAAACATCAATGATGAGAGAGAATCATTGATCAGCTGCCTCCTGCACGTCCCCTACTGGGGATCGAGCCCGCAGCCCAGGCATGTGCCCTGACCGGGAATCGAACCTGGGACCCTTCAGTCCGCAGGCCGACGCTCTATCCACTGAGCCACGCCAGCTAGGGCCACAAACTTCACTTTAAAAAAGAAATTTTTTTTTTATTGATCTCAGAGACGAAGGGAGGAGACACAGAGAAACATCAGTGATGAGAGAGAATCACGGATCGGCCGCCTCCTGCACGCCCACTGGGGATGAGCCCGCAACCCGGGCATGTACCCTGACCGGGAATCGAACCGTGACCTCCTGGTCCGTAGGTTGACGCTCAACCACTGAGCCACGCCGGCCGGGCCATTTTAAAATAATATATGTGAACTGATCTTTAAATACACTGTGATCTTCCAGATTCATGGGCTGAATTGTGACGTGAGGCCTCTTGGTCGTCAGGGGAGTCCTCGCGCCCGACCCTGCCCCCGTCAGCCCGGCCCAGCCTCCCCGGCCCCGCTTTCCTCTGCTCTCACACCCGTTTCATCAGCATCCACTTCATTTGTAAAATTTCGTATTTCTTTTAAAAAAACAAAGGAATTGCCTTGGTTTGCAGTTTACCTCGAACTTTCCCTTGACTTGTGACCCAGAGGAAGGGTGAGCAGCAAGGTAGGTCCGACCAGAGCGGCCGGGGTCATAGGTTAACCTTCCCTGTCCCCCAATCAACTCAGAGAACAGAGCAGGCACCAAGCACCCCTCCCCACTCTGAGCTCTCCCCCTCCCCCCGGTCTGTGGAAAGGAGAACGGGTGAGCCGAGAGCACGGTGGACTCTGAGGCTTGTTTTATAAAGTTGTGAACCGTGGCTCGTCCTAAAGCCAGTGTTTTTCTTCCAGTTCTTTCAGTGCCTCGGACGTGGGAGGTGGGGGTGTGCACCCCTGCAGCTCGGGGCTCGGCCAGGACTGGAATGTGCTCCTGGTCCCGCCTCAGCCCTAGGGGGCAGCAGCGTTCTTCCGTGGGAGCTGGGAGTCACACGCTGGCAAGCAAGCCTCTACTCAGGCTCCCGTCTCAACTTTACATCATAATTAAAAACATCTCTTTATTGATGTCCGAGAGGCAGGGAGGGGGAGAGAGAGATGGAACCTCCATGATGAGAGAGAATCCTGGATCGGCCGCCTCCTGCACGCCCCACACTGGGGATCGAGCCCACAGCCCGGGCCTGTGCCCCGACCGGGAATTGAACCCTGACCTCCTGGTTCCTAGGTGGACGCCCAGCCCCTGAGCCCCGCCGGACGGGGACAGTCGCGTTTTAACTGAGTGTTTCCACCCGCTGGCTGGGAGGTGAGGGATCGCCCACCACCCGTTTCTCCCCCACGAGCCTCACTGAGTTGAGGACGGACCTACACACAGAGCTGAGCAGCCAGAGAGACAGACCCCGTGGGGAGCGGGCCCCAGGGAGACACGTGATTGGCTTTGGGGCCCCCGTCGAAGAGGGGCCCACTCTCCCATGGGGCATTCGATGGCCTTTGCTGCACCCGGCACAGGGCACTGTGGGTGCCGGGGGCTGAGGCCTGAGAGCCGGCCGAGGCCGTGGTGACCGGGACGGGCCACGGTGGGCTCACCCCCTGATTCCTGCTCCGGACCCAGCAGCCTGGCTTCCCGGCCGCCTGGCTCCTCGCAGAGCTGCCACGTGAGCTTTGGCTCTGCCACGCCGTTCGCCGCCTGTTCACAGTTCCTGGGCGTCTCCCTGGGTGGGGGGTTGGGGGAACAGAGACGCCCAGATGGCCCCCGTGCTCTTCCCCGCTGCCGCCCGGCGGTCGGCTGGGAGACAGGCGCCCTCTCGCTTGGGGCTCTGGTGTAGCTGCATGAACGTTTCAGGAAGAAGATGCACGTGGGCACTCAGTGCAGGTGCTGGCCAAGTGTCCGAACTGCAGCGTCTCCTCACCTGTTCGGTCGGAACACAGATTAGAGTTCGTGGGTGAATTGCTCCGTCAGCAGGTGTTTGACTAGAAACGCATCAGTCCTCCCTGTCCGAGCTGCTGACCCCGAGGAGCCACATGCACTGGACAGACGACCCCTGACCCGGCCACACGGCCTTGTCCCCGTCCCCTCCTGGGGGTGTGGGTGGGACTCACACTAAAGAGCAGAGTGAAAGGAGGCAGATGGAGGAGGGAAACTAGAGTCTGTGGGTTCTCGCCTCGGAAGTCTGCCCTCTCCCCCTGGGCTCCTGGGGCCTCCTGGCTGAGGCAGCTCCTGGCTGAGAGCACGTCCTGGCTGAGGGCACGTCCTGGCTGTGGGCACGTCCTGGCAGCCTGCACCCCTCCCCCCATGGACTTGACCCCTGGCCTCGCTTTCTGGTGACGTCCCAGAGCTCATTTTGGACCCACAGATGCTATTTATGCTCCCTGCTCTTCCCCCCAACCCGCGCCCTCTCCTCCCCCCCATGAAGCCACCTCCTGGTTTGACACTAATATTTAGAACAGTGGTTTCCCATGTGGCTGCGTTAGAATTGCCTGGGGGCCTCAGAGAAATGTGGGTGCTCAGGGTGGACTCCAGTCAGGCACCAGGGTCCCCGGGGGGCACAGCATCCAGATGTTTATTTTTATATTTATTTATAAAAGATATTTTTTTGATTTCAGAGAGGAAGGAAGAGGGAGCGCGAGATGGAAACAGCCATGCGGAGAGACACCCACACGGGGAATGAGACCGCGACCTCCTGGTTCACAGGTCGATGCCCAACCACTGAGCGCACCAGCCGGCGGCATTCGGATGTTAAGCCTCCGCAGAGACTCCAAGGGGCAGGTGTGGCCGGAACCACTGTGGTAGCTCCCATCCCCGCCCGTCCACCCTCAGCCCTGCCCCTCCGCCGGCCTCTGTGGGCAGCCTGTGGCTTCGCCCGCTGCGGGCAGCACATCCTGTTCCCGGTGCCCCTGGCGGCCTGGCTCAGCTCCAGCCTCAGATCAGGATCCCGTTTGGAGCCAGGAGGCCGGGCGGGACATCTGAGCCACGCGAGCCCCCGTGCTCCCCGCCGGTGATGCCCATCAGCGCGTCCACCCGCCTCGCGGGGGGAGGAGCAACCTCTGCAGCCGCGGCTGATGCACGGGCTGTGCCCAGAACCCGCGTGTGGTCAGGGCTCGTGGAGACGCCGCCCCCAGTGCCCCAGGAACACAGTTGCACAGGGAAGTGCTGGTCCCAGTGGCTCCGAGCCCTGGACACGCGGGTCCGAGAACCACGGCAGGAGAATTGCCGCTTCGTCGTTGGCGGAACCCCATGGATGGAAACTTCCGCGTGTCGACGGTGGTTGGCCACTGGCCATTTTCTTTGTGTAATTTATTTTTCTTTTTAAATTTTCTATTGTTGACAGTGCTACAGATATCTCCCATTCCCCCTCCTGCCGGCCCCTCCCCTCCCCCCGGTCTGCACCACCCTGCGCCCGTCCACGGCTGTGCCTGTGAGTGTGCGAGTCCTTGGGTTCTCTCTTCCGTCCCCAGCCCCCTGCGAGGGGTGCCGTCTGTCCCATGCCTCCCGCTGCGGGTCCTACGTTGTTGGTCAGTTCGTTTGTTCGTTAGATTCCACAGGTGAGTGAGGTCAGGTGACGCTTGTCTTTCTCTGGCCCCTTTCGCCCGGCCCCACGCGCCCAGGTCCCTCCCTGTCGTCCCTCTTGGCGGCTTCCTGTGGGCCTCCCTTGGCTACGCATTACGTAGGCAGAGGGGGAATGTGTGCGTACAGACACCGTGTCCGAATCGGGGTCTAAGAGGGTCATCACCCTGTCTCCCACCCTCCACCCCTCGCTCCTCCTCCCACCAGGTGAGACGCAGGCATGGAGCGCAGGCCCCCAGGGCTCTGCCTGAGAGGACTGCGAGGGGGTGGGCAGGTGGGGACTGGATCTGAGGGAGAGAGGGGGGTGTGTGGGCTCTGATGTCCGCACCCGCGGGGGAGCAGACCTTCCTGCAGACGCCAGGAGGGGCTGCGAGGAAGCCCAGGAGTGGGCAGCACCGCAGGGTCTCGGCCGGAGCAGGGCAGCTGGCGGCCTGGCCCACCTGCCCGCTGGGTGCGCAGGTGAGGCCGCAAAGTCTGCCCGGCTGTGACCAGGTGTCCCGTGGGTACGTGCCCCTGGTGTGTGCCCCATGGCGAGTCCGTGAGCCTGCTGGGTGTGCACGGTCCTCCACCAGAAGCTGTGGTTTTAGACGGGGTGTTGCTTTGAGTCAGGAAGTTGCAGTGTGTCCTTTTCCTTCTGTTTTCAGGGTGAGCCTGGCACATAGTAGGTACGTGGTGAGGGTTGCCTGGCAACCACGTGGCGCTGATAATTTTCTCTGTTTTCCATGAGAAGCTCGAAGGTGATGGATGTGACTCCCTTGGAGGGAAACAGCCGTTCTGAGACGTTTCCACACATTTGCATGTCCCCTGGGCACTGGTGCTCTCGGAGCTGCGGCTCCTAGAACAGGCTGCTTGTCCTGTTTCCACGCCCGCTGGGTGTGCAATAAACAGAAACACCCCTTCACCGGGGCCCATCCTTTCTCGTGATTCACGTTCCCGTCTTGGCTCTTCAGAGAGTAGAGGTCCTGTTTGAACCCAACACCCACTCGATAAAGTGGCTG